GTTAAAAAATCGACATTGGCAGTTAATATTTTTTTATGTTAATAGACAACACTGCTCCATTTCAATACTTTCAGGATAACTTTAAACCCAACAAACTTCTAAGACAGCATTACTCCTGAATAAACATTTTTTAGACAAATTTATACCTTAGCCCTTTTAATACATACAAAACATTTTATAATTCAATAGGCCAGTCACACGCGTGCAAATACACTTTCTATATATATGGGTATTTTTTGGATAATATAAAAACATATGTACGATTTACTGATATTGTGGGAATTATTTTTAATTTGTTTGGATTAACAATCATAAATAGAAAATATTTTATTTGAAATTATACTTCAATGAATAAATTCACTTAAATTAAATGGAATTGGGTCGAGTTGAATAAACTATAAAGATATATGAATAGGTACCATAATGAGGTGGATTACACGGATTGTATAGCGTGATTATACTCTATTAATAATAAAATATTTGGATAAACTTTTAATTAGAAGCTCCCAATCAATAACTTTATTAAGTATTTTTTGGGTCTTCTTCTATTTTTTTTCAAAGAGCTTGGTTGATTTACCATTTTCTTCACCATCGCATTTAAGGTCTTTCTTTGATTTATAGTACTTAAATCCAAATGGGAACAAATATGTTATTATCATAATTATGTGTGTGGGCCCACACTTATGTCATCTCTTTCTTAAATAATTAATGGTTCCCGGCTCAAACCACCACTTGAATCAATTGGCAGAAGTTGTTTAAATTTATCCAAAGGTTTTGGATAGCAGCAATCTAGATTGGCTAAGATATCGTGTGCATATGTATAAAAAAAAAAAATTGATGTTTATATTTTGATCAAGTGGGAGTAACTTCTAACATATTTTATTAAAATTAAAAAAGTTCTTAAATCTCATCTCTCATGAACTAGAATGCCTTAAAATTTAATAAACTTTTAATATTTATCCTGTTTAATATAAATAATTTTTAAAAAGATAACAACCTACACGATAAAAAATAAAAAATTATGCATTTGTATCAAAATATAATGGATTGAATAATAAATATAACGAATAAAAATCTTTTCTCTCCCAACTTATAAATAGGATTAGACCAACAAACATATCATCACACTTGAGCTTGAATTTATTCTAATAGATTATTAATGGCTTATTGATGCGTCTCATTCTACCCAAAGCAATGCGAAGTGTGCACGTAAACAAAAATGAGATCAATTAATTTTGCAACAAAGTTCTTAGACTCAAAGTAATAGAGTGCATGTGATTAGATTAACATTTACGTACAAACCTGAGCTTGGATGACCTTAATTTAAAACATTGTTTTCAGTTAAAAGTTAAGTTTATTGTAAAGTGATTTGATGTTTCGATATTTTTGTCTGAAAATTGATTCTAAGAAAATGAAACCATTTAAAAAAGCGATTTTACATGCATGTAAAATTTTTTATCGTTAAGTATAATTTTTTTAAAATAGTAACCATTGGTACAAAAATCACCATTTGAAATAAAATTAAAAAAATAAACTGAAATATTATATAAAATTAAATGAGTAAAAATACTTTTATCTATTATAAAATGCAAGAATCATATGTTGTCAATAAAATAATACATTAATTTACAATGATGAGATATTTATAGATATTAAATATCTATGTTTTCATAAGTTTGAAATTAGCCTTGTCATGCCAATGGATCTGTGGCTTATTAAAATAGAAGTTCTCATCATAAAGAGTTCACAGGGTTTAATTTAGCTTGTAACTTTTACTCTTCCGGTCCTAAATATAAGACCATTATACTAGTGTGTATAAGGGTCTTATATTTAGGATCGGAGGAGTATTATTCATGATTTATTAATAAAAGCAAAAACCACAGCCTATCATGTGTACCTATATATTGATAATTTTTAAAAAAATGTTCACAATTAATTTTAAAAATAATAAAATGGGAGAACACCCTATGCAAACAAAGAAATTAAATGCAATTCAGCTTATTTTTGAAGTGTTGTGAATGATTTGCCTGCTTGCACATGACAATAATAATGTACAAAGTCATGATATATATTACATATCATATGCAATTATTTAAAGTATTTTGGATCATTTTTATAATCCCACTCTTTCTAATTTGGAGTGTTAAAAAAGTCATTAGAGGCATACACTATAATTAATTTCATCATAATGACTTTATAATATAAATATTACAGCAAATTATTTCTTTCATCTTTTGCATATGAGAATCTCCTTGGATTTTTCTCAGCTTTAAAACTTTCACATCCAGGTGTTAATCAATTCTTTAAAGGACTTAGATTTTTCCCGTACAGGGACGGTTGTGGATAACGTCATGTAAATTAAAACAATCAAAATCAATTAAATATAAATAAATATAATATTTTAATCTCCTTTGGATTTGTGTTGTTGTGCATCATTAAATTATTCTACTAATACATATTATTTATATTAATGATTCCTTTTTTTTTTGGCCGGGATATATTAATGATTCCTTAATCCTTAATCTATCAATTAAAATAATCGGTTTAATATTCTTACTTTCTTAAGATTGATAACATGTAACTAGCATGAAATGGTACTTTCAAAGCAACATTTATCTTAATTCTTAAATAAGGGTTATTTATGACTTAGTGGATAATGACGAGTGTTTAAGGAAATATTTTTTTATTTATAGTGTAGTAGGACAAACAATTATCGTTAGATTACAAAAAGGACAATCGTTTATTAATATTTTAACTAATTAAATTAATATACTATGTTTTGGTGCGATTCTGACTTGTCCCCCAAGCATGGCATGAGCAAACCTAACTTTTTAGATCAGTCCACCGGTAAAGATTAAACTGACGGATGGACAAAATTTTAAAAGTAAAAAAATTAATTTTAAAATGACAATAATTTTGTTTCATTTTTTTATAGGTATAGTATACACTTAAATTAAATAACATTTATTATAGGTATAGTATACACCTAAATTAAATCAATTCGACTGCATACATGTGTAAAAAGACGGTAAGGAACATTTCATATTGAAAATAGATAAATTTTATCCTGTTATTTTATTTTTTAAAAATCTCTTTTATTTTTATATTTTGCCGTGCAGAGTATGAGTGTAATGACTAATACTTAAAACACTATAAGTACTCACCAAGAAGAGAAGAAAATCACCAAGACCTGATTAAAAATTAGGATGAAGATGTATCTATCGCGTGAAGTATTTTTTCAGACGCATCTAACACCTTAAAATATTTTGTAGTGTATTTAGAATGCTGAAATATTTTTTAGGTAATCCAATATCCTGAAATATTTTTTTTTTGCTTTGGTGTTGGATGTAACAAAAATATTTTAGGATGCTAGACACATTTAACAAAACATTTTACGATGTTGAATGTATCAAAAAAATACTTTAAAGTGTTATACGTACTTAAAAAAACATTTTAGGACTCTGAATGCACTACAAAATACTTTAGAATACTGGTTGTATTTGAGAAAAAATATTTCGGAATATTAAATATACCTTAACCCTAAAATTTAAGTGGGTATTTCATTTGACTTATTTTAAATAGTTTTACCTTGTGCAAAGTAAATACTGGGTAAATGTGCATCTAGTATTCCTCATGTTATTTCTTTGATGCATCATCTTTTATATGATTTATCTAATATCCTAACTTTATTTTCCTAGGCCAACTAATATCTTAATGTTATTTTTTAAGTTACGTAAAGCACCGTAATTTTTAAGATATTAGATATATTAAAATAAAAATTAGAGTGTTGGATGTACTCCTCCGGTCCTTATTATAAGACCCAATTTGACTTTTTATTTGGTCCTAATTATAAGACCCAATCCATTTTGTCTCTTATATTTATGCATTTTTTTCCAAGATAATCCTTCTAATAATGATAGTTTTAGCCAATATACTTAATTAGCAGGGATATTTCAGGAATGACAACACTTATTTATTATAAATAACCAACTTAACTTACTTCCTTAATCTCCTCAAATAAGTCAATTGGGTCTTATAATTAGGACCGGAGGAGTATTTTTTTTTAAAAAATCAAGTGCTAGGTGTTAAGATTCACTATTACCCATAAATATATAAAAATATTTTATCTTATAAAACGTAAAGAAGCATCGGAACGTTAAGCCACGTCATCATATCAGTCCTTCTCTCTCTGACAGCCTGGCTGTGGTCTGTTCTCAACCTGCGCCGGAAATCACCCCTATCATGTGAAATTGTCAACTGCATCCGCCCAAACGTGACATTTCGCATTTCAGGCGAATAATAACAGTTTTACTTTAAATTTTTTAATAAAATAATTTCGTTAAATATTAAATAAATTGATTATATTAAATTATAGAGAATATTCTAGAATCTAGTCATGCCATTTTTTTTTTAATCTCCAAAATAATAGAACGGTTCTTAAATTCACAAGTAATGTAAAACTTTGATAACATGATCCATGGATAATAAGATTAAATTTTTTTTATAAATCTTTAAAGTTAAATTCATGCATATTTTTTAATTTATAAAAATATTTCTCAATTAAATTAAATTGAATTAAACAACATTTTTTTAATTTAATTACATGAATGACGTTTTTGTTTTTTTAAACAGAAATATGTCCTACTAATGAAAGAAATACGTCCATCTAATTAATTAATGAAACGAAATATAAAAAAATTCAGGAAAATTTTAAAAATGATGTAAATTTTACTAAAACTTAATATGAAGATTCGTTTAATTTAGTTCTTAAAGGATATTTCAAAAAGCATCTATATTATTACCAAAAAAATATCTATATAACTTTTTGCCAAAATTTGAAAGAATCTGTATATTTATTTGTTTATTTATTAATTTTCACACATTCCTTCTGTTTCTCCTAAAGCCGTTTTTTCGGAGTTGGCTGATTTATTTCCATCAAATCCTCATTACCAGCTTCTCCCTAACCGGGAACAAAGGCCAAAAAAAAAAAAAAAGAGAAAGAGGAAGAGGGAAAAAATTGAATTATTTCCAAGAGTGACAGATAGAGAGAGCAGCTTGACAAATTGGTAAACAATGGCGTAGGAAGAGAAGAAGATTCTTCAAAGTTCACTAGAGAGAGAGAGAGAGAGAGAGAGAGAGAGAGAGAGGCAGCGAGAAAGGAGAGATTGAGATTGAGAGAGAGAGAGAGAGAGAGACCGAGAGGCAGAAAAAGGAGGAGGGAATAAAGTGTGAAGTTGATGATTGTTTTGGTTTTGGAGAGTTCTGGAGGTCAAAGAGGCGTTAATTTGAAGGAAACGAAGAACTAAGAAGAAGCCCTGAAAGTTTCAAAATGGATGGGAATGGAGTAGAGAGGGACCTGGAGATAGAGGGTGGTGGGGTGGCGATGATCATGGCGAATGATTATGGCAAACAAGACAGGGAAGACAATACTTCAGAACCTTCATCAGACGACGTCGTCATCAAAGAATCCTATCTCCGAGAGCCTTTGCTTCTCAAGAACAATAGGATGAACAACACGTCGCAGCTCGCCATTGTTGGAGCCAATGTTTGCCCTATTGAAAGTCTTGATTACGAGTATTCTTCCTTTTTATTTTTCCTTTCCTCCTCTTGCTCTGAATTTCCATGTAAAATTTCATTTGGGTTCTCTGTCAGCTGATCACTTTGATTTCATTGTCCTTCCAATCATCTGTCATGGTGGAGTTGGGTTTTTGATTTTTCAATAAAAAGATGAGTCAAAAAGTGGTCAAGTTGAGCTTCCTTTCCTCCCCTTGTTCCGAATTTTCATGGAAAAGCAAATCTTTCATTTGGGTTTTCCGTCGAGTGTTTAGTTTGATCTCATCATTGTTCAAATCATCTGTTATGGATGTGAATTTTTTTATTGCTCTGTAGGAAATGAGTCAAAAGGTGGTCAATCTGAGCTTCTTCTTCTTCTTTTTTCCCCCCTTTTTCTTTTGAGGTTCTTCAGTCTGAGATCATTTATCTTTTTGTGTATCAGAAAGCATTTTTCTTCCTCAGAGTTGTTTTCTTAATTATTTAAGCTAAAATGGCACCACCCTGATTGATTTTGTTTTGAATTATGTTCCACGGATCATCGCATAACTTCTGCCTCACTTTTGTTCTTTTCTTGCAGGATCATTGAGAATGATTTATTTAAACAAGATTGGAGGTCTAGAACGAAGGTCGAAATATGCCAATATATTGTTCTTAAATGGACTCTTGCACTTCTAATTGGTTTGAGCACAGGGCTTGTTGGCTTTTTTAATAACCTTGCTGTCGAGAACATTGCTGGTTTCAAGCTTCTACTCACTAACAGTCTCATGCTCAAAGAAAAGTATGCCTAATTCTTATCAATCAAATGCAATCTTTGTTTATTGTTTCTTATTTTTCCCTTTTCCTCAGTTTCAAGTGTAATTGTCATTTCTCCTTGAGAAAATAGAGTGTCTCATTGATATTGATTTAGTTTTGTAAGGTTGAACCCTATAATTGTCTTTCCGGGATCCTCAATCTAGCCCAGCTTCATATTTTAAGTTCACCATTTCTGTTTGGTTTGAAGCTGATGAAAAAGAGGCTAAATTTTGTAGGTTCTTTGCTTCCTAGGTCTGTTGTGTGAGTGCATACATATTAAGCGTAACAGTCCTGCAAACTTTAGTATAACCGTGTATGATTATGAATTGAAATGAAAAATGAAAGTGAAGAGAGCACAAAAAATTTATATTAGGTCCTAATCTTTGTTCTTCTGTGTCTGTATTGACATTTTGAGCTTTGTTCTAATGCCCTACAAGACCTAAAAGTGTGTATATATGCACTCTTGGCTTTTTACGTGCAATGAAGTGAGCTATAAGGAGCCTTGGGGTAACTACAATATTATCTTTACTCCAGTGCAGGTATTATCAGGCCTTTGTGGCATTGGCCGGTTGTAACATGATTTTGGCCATTGCCGCGGCCATCCTCTGTGCCTACATTGCCCCTGCAGCAGCTGGGTCTGGCATACCTGAGGTGAAGGCCTACCTCAACGGTATAGATGCCCATTCTATATTGGCTCCAAGTACCCTCTTTGTCAAGGTTGGTAAACTATCAATATCAAAGTGCATGTATGTGAACCTCATCATTCGTGTTCTGTTAAAGACAATTTCACACCTCAATTACTTTCTATCAAGATGCTAGATCTAACTTTCTTTTCTTTCCCAATCAATGCATCAAGGACCATTTTAATACTAGAGTTTAAGCTCTTAAGTTAAGGTTTATGATTGATTTTAGAGTATTTTCAAGGGAAAATGTAATTCCTTCTCTTCAAATTTGTCATGTCAATTCCATATGCCTTGTTCATTTTAAAAACCAGAAACCACAACAATAAAATTTTTCTAGCATTCGGTAATATTGAGATTTATGGCTGGCGTATTTCATTCATATGCAGTGGTTACTGAAAAATTGACTGGATTATATTGACATAAACATGGTTTGAACTCCGCAGATCTTTGGTTCAATTTTTGGTGTTGCTGCGGGGTTTGTTGTTGGTAAGGAAGGACCTATGGTACATACTGGTGCTTGCATAGCCAATTTACTTGGACAAGGTGGTTCTCAAAAGTATCGGCTGACATGGAAATGGCTCAGATTCTTTAAAAATGATCGAGATCGAAGGGATTTGATCACATGTGGTGCGGCTGCTGGGGTTGCTGCTGCCTTCCGTGCTCCAGTTGGTGGTGTCCTTTTTGCACTCGAAGAAGCAGCTTCATGGTTCTCTCCCTTGTCATCATTAAGAATCTAGGCATATAATTTGCTTTATAGGTTTTCTCATGCAAAATGATTGACACTAGGATAACTTATATTGGAAGTTGTTCATAAAAACCATGCGGAAATGTACACTTCTTGATTCATTTTCTTTGTGACTGAGTTTATTTATTTGATTGAACTTGCATTCTTTTTAAGGTGGAGGAGTGCTCTTCTGTGGCGGACTTTCTTCACAACAGCAGTAGTAGCAGTAGTACTGAGAAGTTTCATGGACTTGTGTCGGGGTGGAAACTGTGGTCTTTTTGGGGAAGGCGGGTTGATAATGTTTGATGTTAATGAAGCAAAGCCCGCATACAGCACCCCTGACCTCCTGGCAGTTGTATTTCTGGGTGTCATTGGAGGGATTTTGGGAAGCCTTTACAATTACCTTGTGGACAAGGTCCTTCGCACTTATAGCATCATGAACGAGTATGCAATCAAAGCCCCTTTCTACGCTTAGAGTGTCATGAATCATACAGCCTATATCTTGCTCTAAGTTTCCTTCATATTAAATATGCAGCCATAGAATGGGGCCATAAAGTAGAATATTATTTGTATATATTAGACTTTTATTATTTGACAATATCAACAGTTCATATTTTATGTCTGTATAACTGTGTAATCTGTGTTTATTTATTCTTTTATTGGGTTGCTGATTGATATTGTTATGGATTGCAGGAGAGGCCCTATATTTAAAATTGTGCTTGTTGTCACAATCTCCCTTTTGACCTCTTGTTGTTCATTTGGCCTTCCATGGCTATCAAACTGCATCCCTTGCCCTCCTAACTTGGGGGACCAGTGTCCCACCGTAGGTCGCTCTGGCCATTACAAGAATTTCCAATGTCCCCCTAATCATTACAATGATCTTGCTTCTCTCTTTTTCACTACTAATGATGATGCCATCCGCAACCTCTTTATAGCAGGCTCAGACAAGGAGTTTAATCTCTCTACACTTCTAATCTTCTTTGTTGCCATATACTTCCTTGGAATCATCACTTATGGAATTGCTGTTCCCTCTGGACTATTTATTCCTGTCATACTTGCCGGGGCCTCATATGGGCGGCTTGCTGGCTGTCTTTTAAGTCCATTCACTGTACTTGATGTTGGATTGTTCGCTCTCCTTGGAGCTGCATCCTTCCTAGGCGGTACCATGAGAATGACTGTTTCTATTTGTGTCATACTCCTTGAACTCACCAATGACCTCCTAATGCTACCACTGGTGATGCTGGTTCTTCTTGTTTCAAAGACTGTGGCTGATAGCTTCAACAAAGGTGTATATGATCAGATGGTGAAAATGAAGGGGCTGCCTTATATGGAAGCACATGCTGAACCATACATGAGGCATTTAGTTGCAAGTGATGTTGTCTCTGGCCCTCTGATCACTTTTTCTGGGGTTGAAAAAGTGGGAAATATCATCCATGCCTTAAGGATTACTAGGCACCATGGCTTTCCTGTAATCGATGAACCTCCTTGTTCGGCTGCTCCTGAGTTGTTTGGGTTGGTTTTACGGTCACATCTGCTTGTGCTTCTTAAAAGGAAGAAGTTCACAAAGCAGAAGATGATGACTGGGTCTACTATTATGAGAAACTTCAAAGCACGGGATTTTGCAAAGCCAGGGTTGGGCAAGGGCCCCAAGCTTGAGGATTTGGACATTTCAAAGGAGGAGATGGAAATGTATGTTGATCTCCATCCAATTACTAACACGTCACCGTATACAGTGGTGGAATCAATGTCTCTAGCAAAAGCTGCAGTTCTTTTCCGGGAGCTCGGCCTCAGACACTTGTTGGTGGTGCCGAAGACACCTGCAGTAAGTCTTTTGTATGCATTTGACTCTACTAAAGGTTTCAAATGGTTTAAAACCTTAATCACTTGATCACTGGTCATAGAGGCACTCTAACTGAAGCTAAGTTGATAATTGATGACCTGTGAAAAATTCTATTACAATCTCTGAAACGAATAACTCATATGTTAGGTTGTTAAAATACTCGGTCAGGATGAAAATAGTAATTTTGTATGTTATGTTAGCTTTAACATCTATAATGGCTTGGAGTGATCTTTGTATCTGAACTTTTTGCAGAGACCTCCAATAGTTGGGATCTTGACGAGGCATGACTTCATGCCTGAGCATATTTTGGGACTATACCCTCACTTGGACCCTCACAAGTAGGCGAAGCAATAAGATTTTTGTAGATTACAATCTTCAGTTCCCTTCAAAATCATTACAAAGCGCCATGTAATCAATCCCTTTGAAACTTGAAGATTATCAGATTGAGGATGCAATTCTATAGATGTGAGTAGCATTTGCAGCATAATGCATGCATGAATGAATGAGCCTAGTTCATTTCCTCTTTGGTTTTTGTAATTCATGTTCAATTTATTTGACTTCATTTCCTCATAGTTCTTCATAATAAGAGGCGTGCAGAGTCAGGGCCTAGTTATGGGAAAAACTAAATCAGCTTATCCATTCCATTATTCAGTATACATAAATTTATAGGTGGGTAATTATTATTTCTATTTGTTCAAAAAATTGGTCATGAGCAATAGTTATTGTAATTCATTCATTTATTATTTTACCTTGAAAAGTTACTGTAATTTTTAACCGTTCATGTAGTTGTCAGAGGTTTATGTACAGCATTGATACGTTCAAACATGATCTTATGACTGCTTTGAAAGAGCAAATTTTGCAGAATCAATCCCTGGCCCAGACTTTACAGAAAATCCTAACTTTAAAGGAAACTCCAAGAAGAAGTTGACAATGCTTGGAGTGGAAGCTATGGAATTGATGGCAAGACTTTCTTCATAATCAAGTAATTTATTTGCCGCCCAGTATTAGTTAACAGACAAAATATGATGACTCATTGTTGAAATGTGATCAAGAGAAAAAATATCAAACATATTGTCGCATCTGGCTCGATAAATGTGCCAGCAAATCAGTAATTTCAGCCTTCTCAAATTCAAGCACCTACATTTAAATTCTAATTTCTGAACGTACCATTTTTTTTTTTCCGTTAACTAACTTGAGGAGTTAACGAAACTAAATAAATTATTTTAAAATATTCATATTTATTGTTTTTTCTAAAATTAATTTATAAATTGATATATAATCTAATGATACGTATAAGTATGTTGGAAATATCATCTAACATATTATAATTGAATAATTTATTGGGAGAATTTTAATAAACTTTCTTGGCAGCTCATTACTATTAGCCAATCTTCAAAACATTTTAAAATTTCAGTCAACCCTTTTGAACCAAAATGAAATTAAAATTTAAGGGTAAATATACAATACTACCCTTCTTTTTTTTTAAAAGAAAAATATTAATTGTTGCTGGAGCTCCAACTTTCGGTGCTAGTGGCCGGAGATTTTTTTTTCAAAATAAGGTGACCATAGGGGGTTTGAGCCCATGACCCTTTGACACATAAAAAAAAAAAAGATCACCAAGCCAACCAATCTACTAAGTCTATGATGCAAAGAAGAATATGTATAACAAAACAAATATAAGTATCTAAGTGTAAATGAACAAGTAAAATTCAACAATTTATAACAAAAAATTGACAATTTACAAGAAACATAAAAAAATTCATAATCTCAAATGCAAGTATTCAGGTACGAACAAGCAAGTAAAATTAGGAGATTTATAACAAAAATTTGGCGATTTATAATCTGAATCCGGCGATTCGCAAGAAACATAAGGAAATTCACAACCCCAAATATAAGTGTTTAAGTGTGAATAAATAAGTGATATTTGGCAATTTACAACAAAAATTTAGTGATTTATAACTCAAATTCAACGATTTATGAGAAACATAAACATTACAAAACAAATAAAAGAAGCGATTTACAACCCAAATTCAGTGATTTACAAGAAACATAAACATTAAAAAACACTATGAATTCTCTTGTGAACTGTTGAATTTGAGTTGTGAATTGTTGAATTCTAAACACTTACATTTGGGGTTGAGAATTTTCTTATGTTTCATGTAAATTACCAAATTTTTGCCGTAAATGACTGAATTTCACTTGTAAATCGTTGAATTTCATTTGTTTATTTACACTTGGACATTTATTTTGCTATACATGTTTTTCTCTACATTATATGACCAAGTGGATTGGTTAGCTGGATGATTTTTTTTTTTTTGGTGTGCCAAGAGATTATGGATTTAAACCCCCTAGCCACTTATTTTTCTTTTTAAGAAAATCCTCCGACGATAATTAATATTTATTTTTAAAAAAATTAAAAAGGGGTATTATTGTATATTTGTATTTTTATCTTTAAATTTAAATTTTATTTTAGTCTAATGGAGTTGACTGAAATTTTAGAATGTTTTAAGGGTTGATTGATATTAATTAGTTATAAGGGGTTTATTGAAATTCTCTCTAATTTATTTAATTTTCACAATCTTTTCAAATTAATCAACTTTAATTTGATACTTTTTTTTTAAAAAAAGAAGAATTTGTAATACAGAGATATGTCTCCTATCGGCAAAATTTGGTCAGTAATATCCTAATGGTATGAAGTAGTGGAGCACGTGAGGAGGGCAACAAGACCTTTAATTTTTGCATTCATTCCCTGAGGCTGAGGGTTCATCTGGCATAAAGAAAATAGAGGGGCGGGGAGAAAATTTTTTAATGAATTTGATTTAAAAGTTACAAAAGTTGAGTTAAAAACTTTTATTATTTTTAGTTATTCTTTTATTTTATATTTTTAATTAAAATTTTAAAAACCCACTTTTTTAATATTTTAAATCAAACTTATTAAATTTTTTTCATCCATTTCTCTTCCCTCCATTCACCTCATGCCAAATATATGGTAAATTTTGTTCGGTTTCATTCAACTTCACCTTCATATGTTCTCTTCCTATTGCAAATATTTTCAATTTTCAGCTACTATTATTAGGATTGCTTCACCTTCTAATTTTTCGGCTACTACAAAATGTAGTCCATTCATCTTTCGGATTAGGCATCAGGTACAGGTCCTGTCCTTTCTAGTCCTGTCTATGTGCAACTCTAATTGTATTTCTACTCTTAAATTTTAATTTCATTTTGGTCTAAGAGGGTTGACTGAAATTTTAAAATATTTTAGAGGTTGTCTGATATTAATTAGCTACTCATGGGGTTTATTGAAATTCTCTCTAATATATTTAGTTTCCATAATCTTTTTAAATTAATCAACTTTAATTTGATACTTTCTTTTAAAAGAAGATTTTGTAATACAGAGATATGTCTCCTATCTGCAAAATTTGGTCAATAATATCCTAGTGGTATGAGGTAGTGGAGCATGTGAGGAGAGCAAGCAGACCTTTAATTTTTGTATTCATTCCCTGAGGCTGAGGGTTCATCTGGTATAAAGAAAATAGAGGCGAGGAGAAAAAATTTTTTTTTATAACAAATTCAATTTAAAAATTACAAAAGTTGAGTTAAAAGCTTTTAATTATTTTTAGTCATTTTTTATCTTATATTTTTTTAATTAAAATTTGATAATCCCATTGTTTCCCCTCCATTCACCTCATATATGGTAAATTTTGTTCAGTTTCATTCAACTTCACTTTCATATGTTCTCTAACCCTTGCAAATATTTTCAATTTTCAGCTACTATAATTAGGATTGCTTCACCTTATGATTTTTATCATTGTATAGTTGTATTGGCCTTTATACTTGCCCTGTTTCTTTTTCTATCATGTAACTTCAACCTTGTAAATTCTCATTTTACTTAATATCATTTTGTTTTTATCCCCAAAAAAGTCTCACTTTGGTATAAATCCACAAGGAAAAGGAAGCAGTTCAGCAACCACAACATTTGTGGATCCCACCAAATCATTAAACCTGGCCGCTTCTCACTTTGATGCTTCCTCCTTTTTGTGGGACAAAGTTATCTACCCCTCTCTTCCGATTTATAAGACAAAAAGAAAAAGAAAAGATATTTTTTAGTCCTATTTAGAAGGTACTGAGATAAATTTTTTATATAAATGTATAATTTTACTTTTTATTTATTATTGTATTGACTTTATTTACATGATATATAATGTATATTAAATAAGGATAAAATTGAAAAGTTATTAAATTTTAAATGAGAATTAATACAGTTTACAAATTTTCTTAATCTGTATTAAACATGTTAAAAGTGACTTATAAATAGAACTAAAAGAATAATTCGCACGTCAAAAAAACTAATTTAATTAATTCTTGCGTTTATGCTTTTATCTTTTCAAGTTTGCCCTTGTGTACTTGGTTTTTTCCCCCAATCTTAAATGCTTTAGAAATTTAAATTCCGCATGGAGAAACGGTATTATACTCCATGTGGTCAAGTCATTTTATACATCTGATAAGGATATATTAGGAAAAATATTAAATGCTGCTCAAATTTTGTAATTTGTCTTGTATATAGTAATAATTCACCCTTTAAATTTTTCTCCCGTAAATATGAATGAGAAAATTAATATAATTGATGGGGAAAAAAAGGTCTCAGGGACTATCCTAAATGGAGTTGAAGCAATTGTTTTATCAATTTTTATATCTTCAAAGTGCTTTTATACATTATTAATGTCACCTATAAGAATTAGTTAAAAATTTAATTTGGTCTTAAATATAAAATCACAATTCATTTTATCTTTCATATTTATTTACTTTTTTTAGAGTAGTAATCATGGTAATTGTACATGTGAAAAGGTTACCATTATAAGGCACATAATTAATAAGGATATTTTAGATAAAATAATATTTATTTATTTATTCTACCTCCTTTATAGTTTGATGCACAGATAAGGCATGTAAGCACATTTACTTTTCTCTCTTCTTAAGAGCCACATCTCTCCATGCATCATTAAAATTTTAGAAATGCAACTTAATAAAAACATTTGTGCTCTGATTTTATGAGTTATGAATAATTTTTAAAAAAATTTTCTGATTCATTCTTCCTTGGGTTGGGCACTTGGAAATATATGTTTTACACGTTTGTTAACGATGATATTCATCCCTTTTGCATTGCTATAGTATTGTATAAGTAATCTCGCATATACTTATTCTAAATGTTTTATAGATTTAAACTATTGATGTATGATTTCTTAACTTGAGAAAAGTAATTATGTCAGAGATGTACTAAATCACATGTTTTAGTTGATGGGAAGTGGTCAGCAAATTAATCCCTTCAGCCGCTTTGTGTGGCCACTGCAATCCCCTTGCTCACTGACTATTACGTCAGTGAGTGATTTACTATTGTATTAGAGAGGTTGTTGAAACAAGAGTTTAGTTAATTCATTATATGATTTTGAAGTGGGAATTTTTTTTTTCAAACCCTTTTCTCTGTTTCTAATAGATCTGATCTTATTATTGGGCAAGGAAATACACAAGGGGGTATATTCTCTTGCTGTAGGTTACACGCTTCTGCCGTCTAGTTCTATGTCTACCTTCAATGTTGACTTTCCACTATTTTGGAAACAAATGAACAGACTAAGGTTACTACCAAGTGTTAGTTTGCTTTTATGATGCTTCTTGTTAAATGTTCTCCCTCTCAGAGAATGTAACATCCTAAATTTTTATGTCTAGAATTTAATTAAAATTATAAATAAATATTTTTTAGCAACAAGTTAATAGAGGTTAAAATGTAGGCAAATTTAATTAATCATGACTTTTGTGTATGAATGTGTGTGTATGATATTATAGAAATAAATAGTATAACATGATATAAAAGTCTCACATTAACTAAATGCTAGAATGAAGGAGCTCTAGGAGCCCATATATATATAGGAGGTAGTAGGTAGAGTTATGATTAAGCAAACAATTTTCGTACATATTTTAGACAATATTAAAAAAGTACTAGTTTTGAGTTTATGAATTGTTGGATCAACCTGAAATTTGGTTAGTCAGTTTGGGACATCCAACTCGTCAATTTTAACAATTGGATCGTCAATCCAATCTTTGAGTTACAAGCTATTAGGTACGTTTTCAAATTTTTTTTTTAAAGATTTGGTAG